ATCCATTGTTGAGAAATAATATTACAATAAATACATATAACACGATCGCTAATATTACACGCGAAAAATCCAGCTTCGATCATTTGTTTTTTTCGATGGTAATTGAAGTGCCCAATGTGAAAACGTTCGTTTACGTGTATCCCTAATCATTTCAATTTCAACAAGGTGTTTGGTCACGGATGTTTCTGATGTATCACAGATGATGTGGATAATTGTAGATTCAATAACAACTTCTTTTGTCCATTTTTGATTAATGTACAAGAATCTTTAGAATATGTTTCTGTTGATTGTTTATGTTGTTCGCTGCACCCACATTTTTTGTAATATCAACATTGATTTTTAAACTAACAGTGGTATTATTATTATCATCGCTTGGCAAACATTTATTCTGAAACAAAACATCCACAGTAAATTCTTTCTATAGTTTGAATCTGGACTAAAACAAAATGTCCACTATAAGGAGATACACACATGAACGTTTTTCTTCTTGTAAAAGAAACTCCCCAGTCCTCATGACTGTCTCCGCAAGGGTCTAGTCTGCAAAACGTATTTCAAAGATATTCATTACCTTTTGATATTTTCCCTTTTTCTCCTATTACACGTTGTTAAAAGACCATGACTACTTTTGGTCGAAAATTTTCCATAGAACAAAACCTTTTGCAACACCATCTGGATTTATATTGTGAAAAAAAAATAGCTACATGGTACAATAAAGTCAAAGGAGATACTTACTGTATAAAATAACTATAACGATCACATTTGAACTTAATTTGATCAAAGTGTGCAGTTTCAATATCGAGAAACCTAAATGAACGAGCTGTTGTATTTACGTTTTATAGTTATTGTTGATGATGATTCTTGGATAAATATTGGTCGTCTTAAATCGAATTGTTTAAATAAACAGTATCATGGTGTAACAGGTAATTTATATCGTGCCGAGAAACCACATCGAAAGGGAAAATGGGCTGTATCACTCAATGACTATCCACAAGATTTTTATCCGACATTTTTAGCTGGCGGTCTATGTATCTTTGAAATGAAATATGTACACAAAATATATAAGGCAGCAACAAATAATGCCAATTTGCCTGCATTATTTATTGATGATGTTTACATAACCGGAATAATTGCTGAACAATTAAAAATTGAACGTCACAGCAGCGGATGGGGTATAATTTCATTTAAATGTGATCAACATTATTCAAGATTTAGACTATATCAATTGTTGTCTATTTTACAATGCAATATTAAACAATTGAAACAAATATGGGATCAAACAATGACCACAGATGATTATTATAGAAAACAAAAAGTATTTTCAGCCATTTATAATTATATCCCTATTGTTATTATTGTTTTCATTTGCTTAATTATATTAAAAAAAATAAAAAAAGAGTTTTGTTCCTATCATTATTTTGAGATAGTTAAAGCAGACTTATGAATAGGAAGAAAATTATCTTGTTACTTTTATTACGCTTTTGCCCCTTAAAGTGGGATAGAAGATGATAAAACTGAACATTTAACCGCACGCTTTCTTCTGGCGACGGTTTCACTGTGGATTCATTATCTTTGATAGACTTTTCCGTTGGTTGAGAAAGAGGCCGCTTTTCTATGTCAAATTGTATCACTTGGGAATGTTCCCTGCTAACAACAGAGTGCCGTTGCCTATGCTATATTAAATTTTTAATTGTACAGCAATTACTCCGGTTAAAGCAACTTCTATGTCTGGCATATACAGACGATAACACATGGTATGCTGTACAAACCCATGAAAGAAAGAGACCTGCATCTATCGTGGGCAGGTTGAGGGCCGAATTTTACTGAAAGCTCTAGGGTCACTTGAAATTTAAAAAATCTCCAAAACACATGGAAACTTAGTTTTTCGACTATTCTGAATCTCATGGTTATGTTCATTCTGCTCCCGAAGTTGAATAGAGCTCTGACCGAGAGTTTTTAAGAAAATACTGATTTTCATCTTCAATTCTAATATAGTAAAAAATTCACAACACCTTTAATATTATCGAAAGTGACTGAGACTTTCAGAATATAATCACACTATTACTCTTTCGATATTCCGATTGCTCTTAAAGAAAAATAACAATTTCGAAGAATGTAGTGTTCCACGAGACCTAGAAAACCTAAGAGATGGAAAGTTAAATTATTACGCTTTTAACCAACGCACATTGTGTGCTGGGCTACTCGGAGTATATTCTTGAAGTCTGTCATTTGTATATGTCAGACATAGAGGTTGCTATGTGGCATTAATTCATGGCAATCTACTCTCTGAAAAGCTTGTAAACTACACCATCTACGGGTAGTACTTTCATTATATTAGTGGAAACGTTTTCTTTATAATTGATATGTGAGAACAACGACATTGAAGCTTTGCTGAGTATGTCAGACGTAGTCGTTCATATACGAACGGTATTGGACTTTTCAACTAAACAATTTTCGTCTTAGTTTTTATTTGACGTTACATATTCCGCTAAGTTATCGAACTTCACGCTGTTAATATGGGATCAAGGCAATTAAAAGAGATTACTTGCTCACAGTAAAAGCTATACTAAGTACTACTTTTAAAAAGAAAGAAACAGAAAGCCATATTCTACGTAGGTTGAGTTGATGGTTTTGCTGCTGAATTCTGTTTAGCTAACGCGAAACAGATAATTGGCAGTAAATGTGAATGTGACAATTCACACAGAAACAGACTTGGATTAAACTGATTTTTTCCCATTGTGTACATGAAATACAAAAATCCTTTTTTTATTTTTTCCTACCTCGATATATGAACATACCATTGAAACAGAACAAACCTGGCCGTTCAGCTTGACTCAAGCTGCAATTTGCCTTTGTAATGAGCCAGCATAGTTAAATTGCTAATATATTGGGTATGAATGATGACAAAAAATATGAAAGTGACTCAATGTTCAAGGCGTAGTTAATCAATTTTAGACAAAGTTCATTTTCAGACTCAAATTCATTATATTGGTCATCATCTGTATGAGTACAACGACCGTCTTTCATGGTTTAGAACGATTTCGGTTCACATATATTAAACTATCTTGGCAACTATCCCAGATCTTCTGGTTTTGGCAGGAAATTTCTGATTTTCGGAACTTTTTCTGTCCTGTTTTCCTCAAAGCTCTATTGATTTTCTGATTATAATCTTCTTTTTTTGAGGTCTTTGTGATTTTCTTGCTTCGGATATGATATCCCCGGTCATCTCCCACATTTGTTTCTTCTTTAAAACACTTAGATCTGTAAGATATAACATCAGTTTTGATCATTGTAAGAACAACCCGCGGCGCAATGGGAACATGTAGAACAAGAAAATGAAAGGTAAGGAATTCGAACCTCTCACAATGCATATGAAAGATTGGTGGTTTCAGGTGGGTTGACCGCGTTACAGGATCACTGCAGTGTAATAGAAGCAAAAAACATTCGCGGTGTATGGATGGTAAGAACAAGGGCAGCCGCGGTCAGAAGTATAGAAACAAACGAATCAAGAGAGAGAGAAGGATAGAAAACGAACAGATACCGGCGATAACATCAAGAAAATAGTTTTTGTCAAAATATCGCTCGAAAAACCGCGATTTCGGCCGGTGTGTAGAAACTTAATAAACGGTCTCACTCTCGCGGTGTATTTAAACCGGCAAAAGTCGCGGGTTTTCATACCGCGGTTTTATTCATAAAATTTCTCCGTGAGTACCAGTTCCTCTACACTGGTATGCAAAGGTAATTCTGTTAAAGTCCAATAATCTTCTATGTGAATGACATAGCAGAATGCTCCTTACTTAAATTTTGATGCATCTGATGAGATGCATAAGTCTGGCTGTGCAGCAAAAGAGATGGGTTTCTGATTGTTTTATTCAAGACTCTTTACTCGTTCAAGACTCTCTCAACTACCATTTTAATTCATCTTTCACTGAATGATCTATTTCATCGATACCCAGTCAGTCATAGTCATTCCAGAACAGCGCAGGAAACTCTGTTTACGAAAAATTTTACGCGTTTTTTAACCGCACGGAACGGATGTTGCCATGGAAACAAAGGCTTTACAGGCGTGTTCCTGCATTTTATTTTTACACACTCGCAGCTTCTTGCGCGTTATTATTCGAAACTCGCTGAACGCGTAAACAGAGTTTCCTGCGCTTTTCTGGAATGACTATGACTGACTGGGTACTCTTGTATGATTTGTTCTTAACTAACTGTTTGTAGTTGATGATAGAGGCCTTGCTAAAACAACTTGTTAGGTGGCAGAGAGGATGCCAATTATTTTCGATAGTTCTCTGACCGTTGTTCGGCCTGTGTTCAAAATGTCTAGACATTTCCGCTGGATTTTGGAAACTTTTTCTTTGGGTAAATGTAACACTACAGATCCAGTGCTGATAAAAAAAAACAGATATTCTAAAGATTTTGTTGGTGACAAAATGGATTTCTCAAAATTAACAATAAAACCAAGGTTATGAAGTAAAAATAAAACAGTATCTCTATCTTGCAAAGCTTCACTCTCCGTTTCGTTCGTTATGATAATATCATCGAGATAGATTGTAATAAAAGCGCTCATTTCGACTGTTATAAAACACGAAGAAAATTTCTTTTTTGTCTAGCAATAGTGCCCGGTCCTTACAAGATAAAACTTGGGATAAAGCTAATAAAAAGATAACTTTTCTAATTGGGTGAAGTTTTTTCTAAATTCAAAAAGGCAGCGGAACAGTTTTCCGATGCGTTTTGTTCTAAGATTTTTGTGGCCTTCAGGAAATATTTCCGATCAAACACTTTTAGATATTTTTGTACTAGACACTTTCCTCTTTCTAACAATAAAAGGATAGTTAGTCTACGATATTCCATCGCAACGCTATATCAAAAACAAAATTAATGCAGAACATTTCCCAGTCAGTTATAGTCATTCCAGAAAAGCGCAGGAAACTCTGATTAAGAAAAATTTTGCGCGTTTAGCGAGTTTCGAATAATAACGCGCAAGAAGCTGCGAGTGTGTAAAAATAAAATGCAGGAACACGCGTGTAAAGTCTTTGTTTCCATGGCGAGTCTTTGTTTTCTAACGATAATAAGTTCAAATTGCTTAATGTGGAAATTCGGAAACTGCGACGTTTTATAATTCAATTCAAAGATTTGATATACGCTCGCTCTGGATATGAAGCTCGTTCTATTCTTTAATTGTCCTCATTGAAAATGTTTTAGCTAGTACAAATGAATGATAAGGAGGAATGTTTCGTTGCTATGAATTACATCTGACGAAATGTCTTTGATCGGATGGCTCAATCAAACCAAACCTCACTAGTGCAATGTTTTATGGTGTTCTCCAAAAATATTTTAATCTTGCTAATTTACGACGATCTAACCATATCTCAAATTTTATTTTTCGAGCTAAACAAGACGAAGAAGATATAAAATCTCCACTTACAATACCTGCCGCCAATCTTTGAACTGAATTCAATAGTTCAAAATGTCTTTTATAATTTCTATCAAACACAACTAAACTATATCCCGTAACAAGTCTTGCATATTTCAGATATAAATGTTGTTTTAATTTTGATGGTAAATCACGAAACGTTCTGTTGATGATTCTTTACATTTTTCTACAACGTAAAGATGTTTTTTGTATATGTGATGACTATTTTAGATCATGAGATATGTGAAGTTTAAATTAAGCTCACTCATTGTTTCATCTGTCAATTTGATAACCGAAGGCGAGAGAAATGTAGGAGAATGATGAAAAATTAACCAAGTTGCACTTGTCAATATTAAGATCTACTAACATCAATTGATATCAACAACAAAGTTTGTCTATTTTCCTCGCTGCGGGCTCTAGACTTTTACCCAAGCCAAGAGGCACAGAAATAAATAAATTGTTACCAAACAATGAAGCGATTGTTGTTGTAGTGTCAACAGTGCTGAATAGATCGCTAATGAAAATTACAAACAAACATCAAATTCTGAGAGGCTCGTGATGTTATCAAAAAGATTGAGAAAGAACATCGTTATTTTCACTTATTATGTTCAATTATCGAGATAGGAAAGAAACCATTCGAATAAACTGCCGTGAAACTCATGGTGGGGCACACTGTTAAAAGCTGCAAGAAAATCGAAGATAAAGTCCATCGCTTTGTTTTTTTACCCGTCCTTCATGTTTTACACAGACAGCACACATACAATCACAGATAGCCACAGACAGCTACACAGACATCCAAACACAGACATCCATGGATGTCTGTGGCTGTCTGTGGTTTTATGTGTGCTGTCTGTGCAGATGTCTGTGGCTGTCTGTGTGCTGTCTGTGGGTGTCTGCGGGTGTCTGTGGGTGTCTTCATGTTTTACTATTACCCGGCATGAATGATGGATAACTTTTCTTGGAAACCAAACTGAACGTTGAGAAACTAATCTGTTGACAACTAACGGGTGAGGCAACCCAGTCAGTCA